AGCGCGCTGGGTGCTCGGAAGGATGCGGGTACCCAGGCTTCTGTAGAGAAGTCACCGCAGAGAGACACAGGGGAGTTGTGAATAGGGACACCAGCCCTTCTTGTGGTTAACACTTTTTTTTTTCAGGGTTCAAACATCCAAGGCTAACACTCCTAACAAGCCTGAGATGCACACGTCAGTGCCGCATAATTTCGTGGAGACTCCGGGGGCGGGGGACTCAGCAGGACTTGGGGACAGCTGTGCGATCACCCGCGCCCCCACCTACCGCGCCTTCTGACCTACGGGAAACGAAAGCTCAGCTCGGAATCTGAGCGGCCAACGCGCGGTCATTCCCGGAGACGCCTCCTAACGCGGGACAGTCCATCTCCACACCCGCCTTTTTGTTTGTTTGTTTTTCTGTTTTTTGTTTTTTAAGGAGCTGTCCTGGATGAGACAGGCTGACAATGCAACCCAAGGAATATTGGGAAATCCTGCCCCGGTGTTTGGGGAACCTGGGCAAAGACCAGAACCACTGCAAAGAAAGTACCCTGGCGGGGCGTTTGGCGTCTTGTCAATCACACGATCAGGAGGGAGGGGACATTTTTGAACGTATAATGGACAACCTTAAAAAAAATGTTAATAATGAAGTGGATTCCTCACCTCTTGCCAAGATGCAAGATTTTATCTTCCTGCTTTGGGGGCGAGGGGTGGTGGTGTTAGCCACCAAGAACAATTCCTTGTAATCAAACCTGTCAAAGTGTTTCCATGAAATACTGTTGGGGTAGGAAAGATCTGTTACCCAGCTGCCTGTATAATTTTCAACAGAAGCAAGTCTGACATGCAAAATTCGGCCTAGCTTTCACTCGGGGAGGTGACTCCTCAGCACCCTGTCACAGCGGGGACTCCAGAAACCCTCTCCGATTAGAAAGCTGGTTGCTGAACGCTGTCTTTTTTTTTTAATCCACCTTCTTATTTAAATCTTGTATTTTAACTCAGCGTAAAAACAAACTTCGCAAGAATAGGATTGAAAAGCAGGGATTCTCTGAGAAGTTAAGGATGCGACGTTTAAGGTGTCTTAGAGAAAAAAGAAAACCCATAGTCTATGGCATGACTTTTACATGAAGAATTCAGGAAAATCCTAAGGAGATGAGTGGAAGAGGAAGGGGACCCGGAACCAGCCCTTCTCCTCCCCCCACCCAACTTATGAAAAACTTTAGTTATATTATCTAATTTATTTCTCTCCCAACTCTAGAGGTAGGGTAATATTTTTAACTTGGGTGTTTACAGATGAAAAACTTTCGTCTCACAGGTAAATTGCTTGAGGGCATAAAGCTACTAGTTTAGAATTGGGGATGATTAGGGGGCAGTTTTCCTGGAGAATTCCTTGTTGTTCTTACAGTGGGAAGCTGAGAAGTCAATTCTCTTGGGCAGGGGCTATGTAAGCTTACAGAAGAAATGATTTTAAGTCCACACAAGGACAGCTGCAATTTTGTTGTTGTTGTCTATTTAGTGTTTAGGGGACAAGTGCGGCTATTTGAGAAAACTGGATAGTTCCTAAGTTCACCTTGTGGAATTATGTTGAAACTAATAGAGAAGCCAGTTAGAACCAGGCACCTGTGTATTCTCCAAGAAACTGAAGGAGTTTGGACTTCTTCAAACTTAAGAACAGTTTGGTTTCTAGTTCCAAGATTAGATAAACTATCTGTAGGACTGGAGGGTACTCAAAAAGTCCCAGCTATACCCCATTAGGACAGAACTTTCAAATTGTCTGTGGATTTCAGCTGTGTCTGTGTGACTGAGAGCAGTGGTCTTCACCTCTCTAGGCTTCGTCTTCAGCATCCCCTTCTGTAGAGGGAAGCAAGTAGAAACCTCTGCGAGGCTGTTGTGACATTTCCAAAGGCAGTGTAGGTGTAAGCCCTTAACACAATGTCTGACTTAGAAGAGGCTTAGACGTATTAGCAGCCTCGCCTGTGATTGAAGGGCGTGAGGACAGATTTGGAGAGAGCAGAAATGCTCTGGGGAGAGGAAGGAAGGCTCTCCCGCAGTTTGCCTGAGGCTGGCCCTCCGGGAAAGACTGGAATCTCCCGTAGAGAGTGAATCAACAGCGACTTCCTGGAAAGGACAGCAAACAGTTTGGGAACCTGCGGTCCCTTGAGTGAGCACACTTTGAGAGACTTAAGAATTCAAAGTTGTTGCAAAGTGACTCCGGCCATTCTAAGATGGGTCAATTATGTTGCTATCAGTAAAATACAAATGTCTGTCTCCTTTCTGAATCCTTGAGACGGGAAGGGAATTGTGTTTCTTTGACCTGTTTTGTAAAAACACTCGTCGATAGTCTCATGTGACTTAGGCAAGCCTCAAAGGCACTGAGTCTCAGAGGAAGACTTCAACTCCTGGTCCACCTGCTTCCCCACCAGAGTGCCGCAATTCTATAGGCACACCACTATGCCTAGCTTCTCAGTTTTAATATATTTAACTTTTAAATTTTTTTAACAAAACTATACACAAGTTTTGCTGAGTTATAATTTACCATGCCTGAAGCCAAAGTGAGTTATGACGTTGGGTCTTGAACTAGACTAGATGGTGATATACTGCTTTAAAATGTATTACAAAATAACTCTCCAAAATATTTTCTACTAGAAAATAAAAAAAGCAAGATTGATTCTAGAGATGTGCTTTGAGAATAATGATACATTATGCTGTACTTCAGACAACCCATGCAGAGTGGTAGGACATCATCCTAGAGACAGCAAGAATAGCTTGTTCCCACCAATATGAGTTAATCAGTTTTAATACTGTGGTGAAGGTGTGTTTTTTTTTTTACCTTAAAAAAAAAACAACAACAACAAAAACCTTGCTATTGTTCTATTGTGTGCAATATCTTCCATTCTGCTTCATATTTGTATGTGTGTTTTCTCCATGTCACCAAAATATTATAGTAGACCATCTTAGTGACCAGCTTCAAATCATATCAGCTCATTCTAGGTCTTCGGATGCTGTGGGCTCCAGCTCTTGCCATTATAAATTCTGCTAAGTTGAAAATGTGGACACACAAACCCTCGGACTTAACGCTGCTTTGCAAAGCTGCCTCCTGCACTGTGTCTTTTTAAGGAGTTTGAACTATATTGTCAGCTTTGGAAGCCTTAGTCATTTTCCATCCTAACACAGTTGGTGAAGGATGCCCTGCTCCCCTGGCATCTCTAGTGGTGACTGATATTTCTGCCAAAATGAAAATCCTTTCTAATTGGATCATTTTAAAAGATTTGATTGTTTGACTTGTGTTCATGTGGGACCACAGTCAGGGGAGTGCTTCTTCAGGTGTCCCTTGGTTGTCCCCACTTACTGAATGATGTGCTTTCGTCTGTCCCTTTCCATACTGACAATTTGTACAATTTGTAGCCCCCCGCTTTTTTTTTTTTTTTTTTTTTTTTTGGTTTTTTTGAGACAGGGTTTCTCTGTATTGTTTTGGAGACTGTCCTGGAACTTGCTCTGTAGACCAAGCTGGCCTCGAACTCACAGAGATCCGCCTGCCTCTGCCTCCCGAGTGCTGGGATTAAAGGCGTGCACCACCACTGCCTGGCACAACTTGTAGCCCTTTAAATCTGTTTCTATCACTCGCTCAAACCAGCCCTTCAAAATTGTATTCCCATTTATCTTTTTGCCTTTAATTTTGTTCATGGTTTTTAAGTATATGAAATTTGAGTTATTCTGATGAATACATAAAAGCTTTAAATCATAATCTTTCTTTTTTCTACTTTCTGGAGTACATGAAGACCTGAATGTTTGTTGTGTGGCACAGCCACACTCAGACACATGAAGATGGCAAAGCCTTTCCCAGGTCAGGCTCGGAGAAATGGCCATGCCTTCTGCCCACCGGTGTGCTGATCTTGACAGTATGCCCACAAACTAGCAACTGTCTCTTCCTCCTTAAGGATGACTGAAACCTGAGACATCTCTCCTGTAGAGACCTGCTACCTAGACTAGCTAACCCTCCTCCTTGTGCTGTACATAATAAACTACCTAGTTTCCAGGCTGTATAGTAGGCACCCTCCATCAGAGCCCTCACCCCCACCCCACTTTCCTACGTGTGTCTGTCATTTTGTCTGCCATTTCTTTCCTACATCACCCCGGCAGGCTCCCAGAATGTGGCACACACATCACCTCTTGTTGGTTTTCTGTGTCTCTTACATCACCAGGTTCTATGGTCTGATATATAGAGAGAGATGATCTTCACCGAGAGGCGGGGGCCACTGGGTATCAGCCAATCAGAACATCAGAGGACAGCGTGGGTGAACATCCTTAGAAGTTCCCACAGGCACCCAAGAAAAGAGGCTTCCTTTAGAAGAAAGATTTCTGTAATTGAACTTGATATACAAAAGAGGACTCTCTTGTAAGTTTCACACAGAGCACACTTGTCACTATTAGATTTTAAGTGAGTCCCATTGAGTACATCCAACAATCGTTAGTTAAACCTCTACTATGACCAGAAAAGGAGGTTCTCTCTGTCTTCCTCGTTCCCCTTTCCTATTTCCCACTTCTCTTTCTCTCTGTCTCTGTGTCTCTCCAACAATGTCAACCAGTGCCACTGAACTTTTAGCAGAATCCACCTAAGTATTCCTGCTGGCTCCTCTATGTCACATCCTAGTATCTCCTCTTCACTTAATGAAATTGTCACTATGCCTTGGGTAGATAGGTTCCTTGTCTCTACACTTTTTCTTCGTATGACACAGATTACATCTTCAATGTTTTGAATCACTTATTTAAGAAGCTAACAGTGTTGGTTGGTGCTGCCCTTTGCAGAAGAGCTCTCTCTCTCTCTCTCTCTCTCTCTCTCTCTCTCTCTCTCTCTCTCTCTCTCTGTGTGTGTGTGTGTGTGTGTGTGTGTGTGTGTGTATACTTTGGATTGTGTTTAGTATAGTAATAATATTGGAAAAATTATCTCAAAATTTATATCCTACTTTTCCTTTTGCTTTACAGTAATTTACATCACTACAAGAGCTATTAGACAGAACACATTCTTTCTGAAAGATTATTTATTTAATTGAAGTTACTAGAACTTGGAGCTCAAATGAGGAATTCAGATTTCATTTTCTCCAAAATAATACAGAATGGCACCACTGTTGTATTATGTAAGCATGTGATAGCACTCAGTTAATTATTGCCTTCAAGGAAGACTATTGGATTGCAGAAAGCCCAGACAGAGTAGTGGGTATGGACGAGTTAGGACTCACTCCCAAGGATCTAACATCTGGAGTTGATGTTTGTCGAGACATTTGGCCAAGGGTCATTTAACTCTGGATAGACAACTAAAGCAATGCCATATATCATCATGTAGAGCAAGAGGCGAGGAATTTGGGGGATCATCATGGCTCTATAACCTCAGAAATGAGCACCAATCATAAAGACCAGCAAGGCAGAGACTGTTCAAGAGATGAGCAGTGACTCCTCATAGACCTGAAAGAGCAACAAAGACCCATAAGTTTGAAGTGATCAAACTAACAGATATTAACCAGGTTAGGGTTTGGGGCACTATGTAGAGGACTGACTCAAAATAAAAATTCTGGAGGCCCCTGGTTAAACAATAATGCTAGATTGCCCCAGGACTTAGGTGTGTAGACTACAAGCCTTTCTGAGTTCAATCTTGTGGCATAGTGTCATATTCCTCTAATGTGGGGGAGCAGATTCCTGCTGCGCCTGGGTTGCTTCCAGACCCAAAGCCTGTTCACTCACTATGGGCCAAGGGCAACCATGGTGCTGATCGCTGCCTTTCTCTGACCTTGCCTTGAAAGTCCCAATGCCACCATTCTCAGACTCTTTAAGTCATTGTTGGTGTGCTGGCAGGCAATCCAGCTCAGGGACACAATGTTTGCCTAGCAGGCCCTGTTCAATCCTCACTACCACAAGAACAAAACAACAATAACTCTTAAGCCTGCCATTCCTCTTTCCACATAGTAATTCAGACAATAAAGGAGAAAAGTTCAAAATAAAAGCAAATTTGACCACATGGCAGACATTATGAGGAAATCCGCAATAGTTACGTGTGGCTGGAAAATTTATGGGTGACTGCGTAGTTTTGTTTTGTTCTAAGATGCTATCTTTCTCAATGTCCAACTGTGTATATATTATGTGTATTATTAGAAAAAGTGCCATTAATTTAATAAGTAGGATTTCATCACTCTGAGATATCATAATTTATTTAACCTATTTCTTCAAGCTTTGAAACATGGGAAATTTGTATTTAAATAAGACCTCTTTATAATTAAAAACAAAACAAAACACTACATCATAGCCGAATACGGTGTACCTGGGAGGCAGAAGCAGTGGATCTACATGAATTTGAGGTCAGATTTCCATTCCTCTTTCAACAAAATAATTCAGACAGTAAAGGAGTAAAATTACAAATAGTTTGAGGCTAACCTGGTCTATATATCAAGTTCCAGGCTAGACAGTGCAGCAGAGAAACCCTGTTTCAACAAACCAGAAAGAAACAACAAACAAATGTTACCATGTCCAACTCTCTCTACAAGTGAAGATAATGAAGTCATTGGGACATTGATGAGTAAAAGGTTTCAACTCCATCAATAATGATGCATTTACCACTCTGAAATATTAAAACAGCATCCAAGTGAGAAATTAATGTATGTATTCCAAGTACACATTTTTAAAGAAGTAATGAGCATGAATTGACAGAGTAGTTACTGTTTGAAATGTTCTGGATGCATGCTGTAATATTTTGAGGAAATTGGAAACTACCTTCCCACTAACAGATTAGCCTTCTTTTAATTTAATCATTTCAAGCAATGGCCATTATTATGTTTTAGCTTTTTGCAAAACTGGGAAAATATTATCCCTATTCCAATAATTTGTGTTCCTCTGATTAGCAGTGAGGTTGACTTTTCTTGGTCACTATTTGTTACTTATTTTTCTTTTTTATATATCACCTGTCACTTCTCAAAGCCATTTTTGATGAAACATGGTTTTACTGAAGAATATTTTTTTCCAGCAGGAACTCTGCTTTGTATATTTTTTTAATACAAGGATTTTTATTGTGTAGAATTTCTATTTTATAGAAATGTTCCTTTATCTTTTCTAAAGTCATTTATTGGCTTTCTTTTTTCTCCCTTTTGATTAAAAGGTAACCAATATCACCCATTCATTCCCCCAGCTCCTGGCCAATATCACATTTCTTGATTTCTTTTTTCTCTCTATTTACCTGTCTTTTCTGGCATAGACGGCTTTGTTATATCTTACGTTTTTTGACTTTATGAAGAATTTTCACATCCTGTAGATGAACGTCCTTTTCTGTTGTCACTTTCTTCTACTCTCTTTGGCTTGAGTGTCTCTTTCAGATGAAGTTTCAAATTACTGCATCTATAGGTTTTATTTTTCAATTTTCTTTTGAAGTATGTTAGATTCACTGAGAAGAATTGAAAGTTATACAACATGAACCGTTTTAATAAATATGACATTCTCCATTAACCCAGAGATAAAGTATTTATCTATTGACACAAGGTCTTACTCATTAGATAGAATAGGCCAAACTCAACCTCAAAGAGATCTGCCTGTCTCTGATTTCTTAGTGATAAGAACAAAGTTATACACCATCATGACTAATTTTAAAATGTTTTAAAAATTCATTCTTTATTATTACTATTGGATGTGTGATTATGAGGTGGGCACATGTTTGAAGGTCAGAGAATAGTTTTGTTTTCTACTTCTACATTTATGTGGGTTTTGAGAATCAAACTCTGGTCACCAGACTTAGTGGACAGTATCTTCACTATCTGACTATCTTGCTAGCTCCATTAGAACAAGTTTCACTAATTGTTTTTCACATAAATGTAATAATTTTATTCATATAGCCCCTAGATAATTATAAAGCTGATTTTAGGTACCCATGACTTTAATACATGATGATGATGATATTTCAATACACTTGACTAAATGTTTACGGGGAAAGGAGATACTAAGTGAAAAGAAAAGAAAAGGATACTTGCATAAGCTAAACTTTAAAGAAGTTAATATCCTATGGGAAAAGAAACTTGAAATAAACTTGTTTGAAATCTAAATAGCTAAGTATTTTTAGTGTAGAAAACATTTCCTTAAGTCATCAAGAGCAAAAAGAGGAAGAGAAGGAAAAAGAGGATAAGGAAGGGGAGAATAAAAGGAGGGACAAAAAGATGAACTATCTGGAAGAGGGAAATCAAGGACACATTTGAAAAGGAACAATTTTAGTTACAAGGAAATACCAATCAAGGCCACAACGAACTATTACTGTTTTCCCCCATCATCTCATATCAAAAACTTTTTAAAACTCACATAAAAGTCAAAGGATATTTTGTACAAGCCCTCCCACATGATACTTATGATTATAAATTAAAACTTTAAAAATCCATTTTCAAGAATTCTAATTACAAATTGTCCCCAAAGCCGCACAAAGATCAATTTTGCATCATTATTTGCAGATTCACTGTTGGGTCAGCCGTTCATAAACTTCAAGAATGAGAAAAAGCTTGTCTATAAGAGAAGAGACATAGAGAAGCCAACACAGCTGGATCTTTCCGCGGAAGAGGAAGAGGAAGACAAGGATGCTTGACTCAGTGGTAGAGCTCTGAAATGTAGCACAACTGAGCGGAAGAGTGACAAGCTAGGTCCGGCTATTTAGCCATCTTTGCATTTGGAGATAATTACTGCTCTGAGTGCTAGTATCCCTTTATTACATCCCTCCATTAAATTTACTAGTACCTTATTTATGAAATTGCTCATGTCTATCTTAAAAAGAATGATAAAAAGCTTGAATTCATTTGGAGAAAAAAAATCACAATGCTCTATCCACATAAATGAATTTCATTTTATTGAGTTCTATCTCATTTTTGGCCTTTAAAATTTTTTCTCCTATTTGCTTGATTTTTTGGTTGTTGGTTTTTTTTGTGTGTGTGTGTGTGTTTTGTTTTTTTGTTTTGTTTTGTTTTTTCAGAAGAAGGACTCTGATGATCAAACAAATCAAACAAATGGAAAAAATAAAATAACAAACAAAACCATTTCCCGCAACCCTTTGCAACAAGTGACTAAGTTCAAACTCATGAATTATCAGTTTGTGGGAAGGTCTGGGAAGGTTTGGGTTGTTTTGTTTTGTTTTGTTTTTTACAGGAAACCAAGGCAACTAGAATGGATACGTGCTTTTCTTCCTCCCTCTTCTTGTCACTTCATCTGAATGGGAAGGGGGTGACTGATCTTAGATGACACAATAACCTGAAGGTGGTGATGTAGGAAGATAAAAAGTCCTGAGTCTTTCATGACACAGAGATACCTACTTCGTCCTTCTGATGAACTTTGAGGTTTTGTTTGTTATCCCTCAAAGTTTTATGTTATCTAAAATTTTGGTAGTCAGGACTTCATTGTTACAACTTAATTTTGATTCCCTTGGGTAATCCATTAACTCGGCATCTTTGTATAAAATTATTAACTGACTGTAACTCTACTGACCAAACTACTTTCTACCCAATATTCTATGTATTTTGCATATAGCAATTACCTTAGAGAATTAAAAACAGCCTAGATTTAAAAAATTCCATGGAAATCTACCTGTATTTAAAGGTTACCTGGTTTTTGTCCAGGTTCCTGGCAGTTGCTTCAAAACCTGTGGGGTTTCCTGAAAGATAAGAGAGTCTTTCTTATGCTGATAAGGTCACTTGCAGTGGTCCCCAGGTAGCTTCAGGGGGTATCAGAGAGTCAGACCACTAGATCAGAGGCCTGACCTCCAGAAAGGAGAGAATTGGAGACCGAGTTCAACCACAGAGTCAATGATTAGTGAATCACACCTGTGGAATGAAACCCCAAGAGAAAGCAGAGTTCAGTGGATCTACTGGTCAACTGAGCTGTGCCAAGACAGGGTGAGATAAGTCCTTGCTCTCTGGGAGCTCTTGCTCCCTCCCAGGTATCATTTGTGATGTAAAGCAATCGTGTGTAGGTAGCTCTCTCCTGATTAAGTCATCCTGTTGAAGTATTTGACCAAGAAGAGTGAGTCAAGGGAAACTCACAAATTGGTAAACAGTTTGTCAGAAGTGTGGTGAGTAGTCTAGGATGACCCGCTTCTTCAGAGAATCCAGCTTCTAGTTTATAAAGTTTAAACCCAAGTAGTTAGCCACAGCCGTACACAGCTGATGTGTGGATAGGGTACAAATTAGTAAGCTATTACTAATGAGTGTGTGTGTGTGTGTGAGAGAGAGAGAGAGAGAGAGAGAGAGAGAGAGAGAGAGAGAGAGAGAGAGAGAGAGAGAGAAGGGAGAAAAGGGCAAGACAGGAGGGGAGATCAAAGAGTGAATTTAGCTTGCATAGTTCTTGCAAACTCATCTTGGCTTCTACAATTTTTGTTTTTTAAGTCACTTGTTTAATGATAGACCATGTGACCCCATTGGAGATGGTCATCTATTAAGGATATATCTTATAAAAATTTGACCCTTCCCAAATTCTTAGTTTCATTTGCTTGACTATAATGTTCACTTTCATTGGGAGTAAAATTGTTATAAAGTAATGTTTTACATAGTGTGTGTTGACACTTGCATGTACATGTATGTGTAACGTGTTTTAATTATTTGCCTAAAGAAGTGATTCTCAAACAGGCAACTGTGTTCCACAAGTGACATTTGGTATGGATGTTAAGCAGTACAGGCAGGAATTACTGTGTTTCCAGGCTATTGTAGTGGGGAATGGTTAACAAAGCTGCTAAACAGAAAGGCCATCCACAACAAAATTTCTGTGGCCCCAAGAGGCAATCAATCAAAAAATGATAAACCCTGCATGAAGGCTACCTCAGGCCTACGAGACCAGCAGGAACTCAAGCCTGGTCCTTATGAATCTGAAAGCTGATGTTAGGATAATCTCATTGTAAGTGTTTTAAATTTTACTTCTTTTGGAGAACCTTTTAACTTTATAACAGAGTATCCTGTGACATATCTTACCTGTCAATAATGTTTCTTTCAGTTTCTACAGTCCATGTGTAGGATCCATTTGCTAACTTTTGAAATTTGTCTTACAAACTATGAAATGTCCAGGGTTTATGTTGTTTTTGCCCCCAAGGTTCCCATCACTTTCATGTTATTCACTCAGTTGTTAGTGAGAATAAGTGTGCTTTGCCATAAGACAGTCACAAGTTTGATAAAATTATTACAATAACTTTAGTTTTATAAGTAATACAGGAAACTATAAGTACCACTGTATCTATGAGACATCACCAGCCTTCCTTTTGCTTTTGTGTTTTTCTCTGTAGCAAGTAGTTTACTTCCAAATTGGAAGTCCCTCCTGGTAAATGGCATCCCTACTTTACATGGTAAGTAGGTAGCATTTTGTGAGAGTGGTGAGGTTTGTATGATATTAAAATATGCTGTTCTGTCTTGCATCAATTTTTAAGAAAAAGCAAGGTAGCACTTCTAAAAGTGCATTGTGTAAAAGCAAAACCAAGGAAACAGTAGGACAACACTATCTTTTTACACAATTTAAACTGAGCTCTTAGGAGAGAGGGAGCTCTATTCCAAAAAATTGGTCATGGCATTGCTTTTTGTCCCACCATCAAGGATTTATATCAGAGCCCCCAGGAAGAAAGATGATAACTACAAATACAAATCAACTTTACAGCAAGCAGATATTTATGGGGAGTCATGACTGGTCCTCTATGGGGAACTGTGTCTGACATTGAAAGGAGCAGACCAGGGAATAGTGTATTGTAGTAGAAGAAGCTGGTCATGCAGGTTGACCATGGTTGTCACATTAGCCCAGACCTGGAAGACATGATAAAGGTTGAGAAACACAAGTCCAGACCCAGGAGCAGGGGACACAGAGACAGGCAGATTCCACATGTGCAAGCACAGGTGGCTCCACTGGGTATGCGACCCTAGAAATTGCTAAGGATGCTTGGGATCCCTCTAGTCACTCAAGAGGATGACAAACAGAGAAAGTCACAGAACAGGCTATCATCGCGAAAACACATCGAAGTCACAGGGGTTTCTTTCGATGTAAGCTTCTGTTCTCTTGAGTCCAGTCAATTCAATCTCAAGTGAGTCACTTTGTGCCTACAAGGACTCAAAGAAAGTGTTCCTTCTATGCAGACCTGTGAGATGTCAACAATTCCAGAGTTATTTCAAGGGATTACAAAAACCTGGCCATTTGTTGTATGGCTGATCATTTTCCCCCTTCACAAGGCCAAATGTTTTCTCGTTAGATTACACATTTTTAAGTTGAGTTTTTGTTGACATACAGGAACTGATTGCAGGGCTCCCAGCTGAAAGACACCACAGAAGGACATAATCCTAAATCGAACTTGAGCAAAGCCTGTGTGCTAGAAGTGGTGTATGATTTCTGGCAGCTGTAAGCCTTCTTGCACATCCTTGGACACTGCCCTCATAGTCCTTGCCATGCTATATGTGGTTCCCATCTCCTCTCTTAGCCTTGCAAAGTAGCATATTGAGGACAGATTCCAGAACCGAACATCCTCTCAGGCCATTCCCTAATGTCCTCTTTAGGTGAGGAATACAAACTGTTTACAGCTTACATGATCTAGCACATTCTGATGCTCCCACCATATGTCTGTGTTGGCTGTACTTATATGAGAACAGCATTTCTCTCTATCACAGTCAGAAAAAAAAGTCAAATCACTTTCTATAGTACAAATCCCCAAATCAATTGATGACCTTCCTTCCTCTTTTTTGCCACTGATGTTGCCACCAATGCTTTAAAGTAGTGTGTGTGTGTGTGTGTGTGTGTGTGTGTGTGTGTGTGTGTGTGTGTAGGCACATGTATGGAGGTATCCTAGGAGGCCAGAAGAGGATGTCAGAACTTCTGTAGCCAGAATGCTGAAAATTCCACTTAGTTCTTCTACAACCCAGAGCAGCAAGTGTCACTGGCTAAGGAGAGATCTTTTCATCCTTGCCAATGCTTTTTTCTTAATTAAGTAAAAGAATGTTTATCGAACTTCTCAGTGAAACTTGAACAGCAGTGGAACTGACGTTGATGGCTGTCATTATTGAATCTATCTCATTATTGAATCTATCTGTACAAAAGGTTAAAGATGGCTGCGGAATAAGTGCTTTACGGGACTATCCTAACATGAACCCCTGTTTTACTACATACCTAATTTACTCAATCCGGCTGGATTTAGCTGTCTACCATTTCTCCAAAGCTCATCACAACTGGGAGAGTTTGAGTTACTATGGTTACGTAGCATGGGCTGTTACATAACCAGAACCAGCAGAATTTATTGTAAGTGAGGATTTGCTAGAGTGGGTCACAACAATTACTGTCTAGGTAATCCAATCATGGCCATCTGAATTCTAGAGATACTGGGAACACAGCTGCTGCTCTGCCAAAGAAGCTGCGTGCCCAGCCCTCTCAGGCTGGTGCTGAAGGAAGCTCCCTGGAAAGTTGTTGGTTTCCATCCCGTGTTAGAATGCCAAATTCCTAAATACTTGTTATTGTTCCACATTTCTGATATTTTGTGGGTGGGGCCATATGAGTTATGGAATACTTTTGAAAATCAAAGAAAAACTGTGGGGTTCGTTTTCTCCATCTACCTTTTACACGGGTTCCTGGGAGTGATCTCAGGTCTTACAGAGTCTCAGTTAGGGTTATTATTGCTGAGATGAGTCACCATGACTAAAGCAACTTGGGAAGGAAATGGTTTATTTCACCTTACAGTTCCAGATCATAGTTCATCATTGAAGGAAGTCAGGGCAAGAACTCAAACAGGGCAGGATCCTGGAGGCAGGAGCTGATGCAGAGAACATGGAGACATGCTGCTTACTGACTTGTTACCCATGGCTTTCTCAGACTACTTTTCTTTATAGAACCCAGGACATCTAGCCCAGGGATGGTACCCCCTACAATGGATTGCCCACTCTCATAAATCACTAATTAAGAAAATATCCTGCCGGGCATAGGTGGCGCATGCCTTTAATCCCAGCACTCGGGAGGCAGAGGCAGGCGGATCTCTGTGAGTTCGAGGTCATCCTGGTCTATAGAGAGAATTCCAGGATAGCCTCCAAAACAATACAGAGAAACCCTGTCTCGAAAAACCAAAAAAAAAAAAAAAAAAAAGAAAAGAAAAGAAAAGAAAATATCCTACAGGTCTGTCTAGAGCCCAGTCTCATGGAGGCATCTTCTCAACTAGGGTTCCGTTCTCTCAGATGACCATAGCTTGTGTCAAGCTGATATAAAACTGTCCTGCACACATGGCAAGCATTTTAACTTCTGAGCCATCTCATCAGCCCAGCAGCTGTGTTCTGGTGGTAGCAAATGAAGGCAGTGTTGAGAGAAACACTGGGGTAGACACTCACCAGCAAGAAGCGAGGATGGACAAGTGAACAGCCCTGAATTTCCCTTAAACCGCTTCCTATCTTACCTGCGATCCAAAGATGCATTCCCCACCTTGGCTATTCCTTCCTGGAAATTCCTTCACAGACCCACCCAGAGGTACATCTCCTCGTTGATTCCAAACCCTGCCAGATCGGCAGTCAAGGTGAACCATTGACGATGCCTTCCTGCTGCCCCTCATTTCTACCTCCTCGTCTTGAAGAGCTGCCTTAAAGTCCTTTCACGTGAGAACTATCTCATCATTGCAGGCTTCCCCCAGCTGTCCTTTTTCTGAACTCCAACTCACCCAGTGTGGCTCTGAACAGGTCTCTAATTGCTCCATGCTACACTTGTGTTGTCTCCCCAAGTAGATCATTAGCTGCCTGGTGTCTGTCCCCTCCAAATCCTAACACAGGGTTGGACTATTTTCTTTCCCAATAAATACTTGCCAATTGGCGGGTTGATTCGGGAGACATAGTGCACAGTCGGGATGGGGCAATGTAGATTTCATGTAAACATATGTGTTTCTTTTAAAAATGGATGTTTGAGTTCTTGGCCCCAGACTTAGTGGCTTGTTGCACCAAACCTCTGGTTTCAGAGTGTTCCTGTTTATCTGGCTTTCCTGGGAGTAACTTTGAGAAGACAGATTATAGTGTTCGCCTAACCCCCTCCACAGCCTATTGATTTTATATGTCATCAACATATATTGTATGTCTACACCATTACCAGGAGAAGCAGGAGGTGCCTGTAGTTATGCCCCCGCCTCAGCCCGCCATCTCATGCTGTGCCCTATGGGAAGCCACTGATTCTTACACTTGGAGCTGGGACAATGCAACTTAATCAGACTGACAGGAAACAGGCAGCAATTACAGTGCGCCGCTACATCTGCTGGGTTCCACTTCACTGAGGGAAGAGTTATCTCAATTTTAATGTACATCCCTTTTTCATGTTTCATTTAACCTCTGCTGTATTATTAAACACATCAAAATATAATGACACTCGTTAAAGAAGAAAAAGAGGACAGTTGGGATATTTTGGATGGTGTGGCCTATATTTGTAACTTAATTGTATCATTTTTGCTTCTCTTCAACATCTCTCCCTTGTGAATAACTAATTCAGTATATAGGTATTTAAATAGCAAGTTGGGGACTGGCTGTTTAAACACCTACATCAACACCGAGTTCAGTGACAATAAAATGTCCCTCAGTCATTTGTCTGTTTTCACCGAGAGCCTTTCTCTTTTCAAAAACATGTTTTTGCAGTGTGTCAAAATAGCTAGTTTAGCCATTACTGCAGTGCACAGACTGCACGAGAAGCAGCTCAATGAAATCCCCCAGGAATGTATTAGTGACATGACTGGGGAAAAGCTCTGGAACTCAAACTAGCAGGTGTCTCGCCCGCTGGCCCGGCCCAGAGCAGCCGGAGCCCATCAACTGGCCGATCCCAATGACCTGAAATGCAGGAACTATTAAACCTTTCATTTCTGCAAGATGGATGTGTTGACACACCAGGCTGAGCCTCTCATCTGCAGCTTTGTTTGGGGCTTTTTGCTTTTCTCCTTTCTACTCTGATGACCTGACCCTAGGTCTTTCTTTGAGCCCCAGTTTTATATTTGTATCTGATTTATTTAGTAAACCTCCTTAAATACTGAATGTCCATCAGAAATTAACCATGATCTACAAATCCAGGCTCCCCAGATTTCCATAGAATAATGGGAGCATGATCTTGAACTGTCTCTTGACTTCTTGAGTGTTTGACGAAGGAAGTGCCAGATGGGGGTTGGGCAGGAGGAGGATGTGTGCCAAGGAAGTGGAGGACACCAATAGAAAAGACATGTTTGTATCTGAAGAGCTTTTCAGGCAAGACCAAAAGTAAAAAGATCTACCCAATTTTAAAAGTAATTCTAGAATTATGTTAAATTAATTAATCATTTCTAGATTTAAAAAGAATTAAATTCTAGAATTAAAAAGAATAATCATCTACAGTATTGTAGGCATATCCACCATCAATAGCAAACATGGCCTGCTGGGAGCCAGGTTGATGAAAAGCACTACAACAGAGAGACTGTGTTTTCAAGAAGTGAACAACCTACTCATGAAATCCAAACAAACAGAAAAAAGATAAGCCAGAGACAAGCAGGCTGCCACCAGAAGGTGGAATTCATTGCAAGGTGACTCCATGGTGTATTATGTTTATAGTCGGTGAACAAGAAAGAAAGGAGGCCCCTAGGTATCCCTTTAAGGCAACAGCAGCCTGATGCTATGCAGCAAGCACCTACATCAGCCTCCTAAATGCCGGTGATGGTGTCTATTCTGAGTGTTCTTTTATCCCATGAGTTTTGCCACAGGGCTGTCCATAGTTTAAATATTATTCTGAGCAAACGCCTCCACTAAAAGCAAATCTAATTAGCCCTGCTTTGCTCATGAGCTCACTACAGGATCGTGACAATCAACCTGGAAAGGACACAGTGTCACTGAGTGAGTAGGACAACAGCTTGAACAATGGTGGCAGCACAGCCTACAAATTCCCAGTCTAAACAAGTCACATGGCTGACTCTAAAAGTGCCTCAAAGTGTCTTCGTAACACCTCATCCAAAGGCTGAAAAACAGAAGAGAGGGACAGATGCCAGAACAGAATAAGGAAATGCTGTCCGGTCTCCCCATGCCTAGGGAACAGGGGAGGCAAACCTCAGGAACTAAAAATGAGAGAGTTTAATACCCATCCTCACTAATATCTTCTAATGAATTATTAATTGGTGGTTTGAAGAAACTTGGAAATGAAAATTTTAATATTGGGAATTAGCACAGGTTCATCTGAAATAAATAATGCTGACCCTTGAATAAGGTCTCAGATTGGAAGTTCCACTTACACATATGTTTAATGGTGTTTTTTTAAAGTGGGTATTTAAAAATATTTTTTGAAGACAACACAATTTGAAAAAACCCAGATATATCACATAGCCTGGAAATATTGAAAACATTAGTAAGAGTCAGGTCACAATAAACTATATATAGATAACAGTGTATTTTGTTGTGCACTATCAGAATATCTGCACAAAACTATTATGAAAAATTATAAAATATTCACAACCTATGAATGTAGGACAGACTACATACTGGACCTGGAAACAGCAAAGAAAGTGAAAACAAATGGGAGGATGAAATATTAATCCATAACAGCCTAAAATCAACTCTAGTGAGCACTGTGCCCCTGCAACAAGTGTCCTCCTGCTGGCATTGCTGTGAGCTCTGACATTGGAATGATCCCTAATCATCACCAAGTGAATAATTTGTCTCTCCAGTAAATTGCACATCACAGTAAAGAGCAATCTCTTACGCTTCTCACACTTTAACTCTGTAATGCATCCAAATCTGAAATGTGTGGTACTCACCTGCGTAAGTTACTGATAAGGTTGGTGGTTCACAGCTGGCTATTGTCAATTAAATTAGGGGATGGTCAAAAGTGGCAGGTAGGTTTGTGAGTGTGTGGGTCAGCCTGGTTTCCCCCTGTATAGTTCAAGGTCAATTCTAACACCCAAATTCTAGCTTTTAAAAATATTTACTTATTCTTTCATTTGTGGTGTGTGTGTGTGTGTGTGTGTGTGTCTTGTGCATGTATATGCATGTGAGTGGGTGTCTGTGTCTGTGTATACCTTAACTGTGTAGGTGCACTCCAAGGCAAGAAGAAGGTTGGAACCCTGGGTTTGGAGTTACAGGCAATCAGTTGTGTGCTGCCCAATATGAACTGGGAACTGAAGACAGGTCTGCTGGAGGAGCCACATGTACTCACTGCAGATTCCAGCCCCTTGATGCTGTCCTATCTCAATCAAGCACACTCTGTTGGCACCTTAATAAAGACCCAACTAGACTCCCTTTATATAGGTGACAATGGTGTGACTGGGACAATATATGAGGCCACAGGCAGTGGGCTCAAGATCTAACACTAACGCACAAACTGACTTAGTAGAGTCCATTCTGTATGGAGAGATACCTTGCCTAGTTGAGACACAGGGGTATGTGGGGTGGAGATGTTCCCTGGTCCTGCCTCAATGAGATGATGGTACAGACTTAGTACTGACTTCCTAGGGGAGGCCGTACCCTCTCCATGGAGCAGAATGGGGGAGGGGATAGTGGGGGGAGCAGGAGGAGAGGAGGGAGGGGGAACTGGGATTGGAATGTTAAAAATAAATGAATAAAAAAGGGAAAATTTTTTGATTAAAAAAATGTTACCCCACATCTGATAGAGGACTAATCTCCAAAATTTACAAATAACTCAAGAAGCTAGTTTTCAAAACATCAAATAATCCAATTAAAAAGTGGGGTACAGAACTAAATAGAGAATTCCCAATAGAGGAGTCTAAAATAACTGATAGACACTTGAGAAAGTGCTCAACATCCTTAGCCATCAGGGAAATGCAAATCAAAACAACTCTGAGATAACATCTCACTCCTGTCAGAATGGCTAAAATCAAAACCACTAATGACAGTTTATGCTAGAGAGGATGTGGAGAAAGGGGAACACTCATCCATTGCTGGTGGGCGTGTCAACTTGTACAGCCACTTTGGAAATCAGTATGGAGTTTCCTCAGGAAAATGGAAATCAGTCTACCACAACACCCAGCAATTCCACTCTTAGGCATATACCCAAAAGATGCACATTCATACAGAAAGGACATCTGCTCAACCATGTTCATAGCAGCATTATTTGTAATAGCCAGAACCTGGAAGCAACCTAGATGCCCGTCAACTGAAGAGTGGATAGAGAAAATGTGGTACATTTACACAATGGAGTACTACTCAGCGGAAAAAAACAATGAAATCTTGAAATTTGCAGGCAAATGGATGACACTAGAAGAAACCATCCTGAGTGAGGTAACCCAGTCGCAAAAAGACAAACATGGTATGTACTCACTCATATATGGATTTTAGACTTGGGTCAGGGGATTGCCAGCCTACAATCCCACCACCAGAGAGTGGAGGGCGGGAGGGGGGGGGGAACCTAAGAGAGATATGCATGGTAACCCTGAGAAGGGGAATAGGATATCTCCTAAAGGGATTGGGAGCATGAGGGAAGGGGAGGAGAAAGGGAGATGGGAGAAAGAGAGGGGGAGAAGAGGAGGAGAGAGGAAGACATGGGGGAGCAGGAGGGTTGAGTCAGGACAAGAATGGAGGAGAGCAGGATGAGAGA